AATCGCATCTGAAACGTCTCGATGAAAAGACGCGCGCAAAACTCGCTGGCCGGCTCACGGAAATTAGCGGACAATCGATTTCTGGGAACCGACCCTCCTCTCGCGCGGAGGGAAAATGGCCCCATAGAACGCTTCGAGACGTTTTACAATTTTTTTTTGCGGCCAATCTGCCGTACCATCGCTTGGAAAAGAGTTACACCGTGCCTCGGACTAGATTATGCAACGAGTGCCAATTTTATGGAACTTATTCGATGAACGATTCACGTGCGCCATTTTGGTCTATGATTTCCCGCCATATTTTCAGTAATTTAAGTATTTCTGTATGATGGAACTTGTCTGTAGGTTTTTAAGTGAAATCTAGATACGCGTGTATTTAGTTCAGCAGTATTTTTGAACGATTAATGGAAAAATCTCAGTCTTGTCGTTGAACATATACAGCCATGATGGCTACTTATAATTTACATAGTTGTCGATAGTATATTTTACAATTAATCGTTTGGTTATGGAAACTTTATAATGAAGTACTAAAGTAAACCTAATGTAACAACTATCTTGCATATCTGAGTTTGGTTCTTGAGTCTTCAGCCGTGCAAGGAGTAACCGATCTAAAAACAAACCAATGATACATTTAACTTACTCCAGTATGCTGACATAAAAAACAGTACCTGACTTACTCTTACTCCTTTAAAATGGCGGGACACGCTCAGGGGGCAGTTTTTGGACATTTTCTTAATTATTTGCAACCTGCTTCGACCGAGGCACGCAAGACTCAACTAAATCGTTTTCTTGGTTAGTCATTCTCCACAAGTGAGTTCATTTGCATTCGGAATTCGTGCATCAATCCCGATTCAGAATCGAGCCTGCGGTCGTCGGCATCGCGAAAAGGATTCCCGGGAATGGAAAGAGGAGGCTCAAAACCCCGCGAGTGATTCACAAATGTATCATGTGTGGAACCCCGTAGGGGGGGCCCCCGCACTTCCTTGATCCTCCCTAGCAATGAAATTCGCGCAGAATTCGTCAACGACCATTGTTCCACGCAGGAATAATGAAGTACGATTGTTCTTTGTCTCTTTGGGTCAAAGTTTTCAAACTTCGGGAGCCTTGGGGTGTTCCTGGTTGAGAGGCAAACCGTTTGACTACAATGCGGTTCAATAAACGTACAGGGTAACTCCAAAATTGGGTATTCATAAGGTCACATAAACGTAGATCTAAAGATCCTTCTTTAAAGCCGTTTTCTTTTTATTCAGCAATGCTGAGAGACTCATTAATTAATAACGCAACCCTAGCAGACCCTGCCTTAGCTTTCCGACATTATCAATAGTAAATATCTTGATTTAAGTATAAATGGAATTAGGCCACTTTCAAACTACACGGTTCAATTATTGAACTAACTCTGAAAACTTATGTGTCAAGAATTATCGTATTTGCTCGGAATATAAGTAACATGAAGTTGTACATGTAACCATGGTAACCGGAAAAAGTTGAAAAATGGAGTTAGGCCACTTTCAAAATAAATGGTTCATATACTAATGGAAGATCGATCGAGCGCTTGCGAGAGAAACGGTCCCTCTGGCGGAAAGTACGGGAGACGATGGACCACACGCGACTATTTTGATCCACATACTGAAATATAAATTATACATATATTGTGCACACCATCCTTGTATTATGTGTTGCATGAATAAAAGTACGAACACTATTTAGCATGGCTATCTGGTACTCTCGTGACGCGAAACAACGGACGAAAAGTAAACGGTACAAGAGTGTCCACAGCCGTGTATTGTTTGCGTCGTTGATTCGAAACTATTTTCAGAGACACTCGACTATTTCGGCATCGCTAGATCATTTATTCATGGCGCGGCACGCACGAGGTATTCGCGGAATTGTTAGATGCACCGCAGAAAACAACGATCGTCGATGTTTTCGAGAAGAAGCTCGCGGGATTAATACCCCTGAGAACAACGTTGTGTGTAGAAAAATGTACGAACAAAGAACTCGTGGCTGAAAAGGAAAATCGTTTTTCGTGTTTCCGAGAAAAATATACGGAACAATACGGTGCACCAATATATAACACGGAAACGCGTATCGCGATGATAACCGCAATCGATCGGGACAACGATCGAGATAACCGAGGATGCGCACGAAGAGGAAAACTATTCGCTGTTTGTTGTTGGATTTTAATTAATGAAATCCAACAACATTCTATTGAAATATTATAGAATCCTTTAACACACTATTGGGATAAGTAATTTATTTTAATTCTATAAAAATGAAAAACTTAATTTATCCATTAAAAAAGAAAGTATTTTTTAGTTGTTTAGACACTAAGATTTAGTCTAGATTAAAAAGAGTTTTAGGATAGCCTAGTGTTCTCAAAATGGTACTCATCTTTACTAGTCATGAGCATATAAACAGAAGGAATTTCTTATGAATAATTTTAAATTTCTGTTATTACAATTTGGTATGTACTACAACTTTTACGACTGCAATGAAGAAACGTTATCTGAGCGAATTATAGTCCCCGACGATGTTATTTTAACGATCTTTTCAACGAGTGACCTGTCGATCGTTGATTCATTTACCAATAAACAGGAATGAATCAGACATTTGGCGTATAATTTTATTTTGAGAACACTTCCGGTGGAAAGCACGCGCCTGTCTTTGCGACACTTTCGTTTCTGACTGTGAACAATAAATAGTTGATTAAAATAATGTATCCATTTCTCTGAACAATCGAGCGTAGTCAAACAGTAAACAATAACATTTCGTCACCGTTTGAATAGCAATTTTTTTAGTTATGATAAAAGTGAATCTTATTAATTACTTGCTAATTGTGTAATGAATCATTTCGTATGGAAAATATAAACAAAATTTATCTAAAAATGCATGTGTCAATAAGAATTCACGAAAATCATCCTCGTCGCAGTATCATAAAGATATCTTACAACCGAGGAAATTCTTATCGTTTGCCAGTAAAAATTACGAAATCATCGTTCAAAAAATCTTTCGCCGTGGGAAAAGTACAACGAGTGTTCGTATCATCTAAACAAATATTCCATAGTCTCCATCGTAGCAAAAATTATTCAATTTTTAATCGCTCGACCGTATCCACGGCAAATTTAAAAGTATCTACCGTGGCACAATTCGTTTTGAATGCGAAAAACAAAATTTTTTTCATCTAACAGTCTCATTTAAAAAACTATACACGTGGCTACTTGACCACAAACCAAATTCTCCTGAAGTGCACCTAAAAATAAGCGTCGGGACGTTGGAGAAAAAATTTAAATCGACTCTTACGAAATACAAATATATAACGTGCCCTGAAAGCTGAAATGTTACTTTTCCTTTCCACGATCTTATAAAATACACTCGCGGAGCGACAAAGAATTTTTATGATCTTCATAGATACATTGTTTTCTGACGCTGGAGAAAACATTCTTGAATAAATTATGCGTCCATCTTCCTTTTGACATCGTTTACTCATCAGGAAATAAATCAAATTTTTACATCAAGTTCACGAATATTCTCGTATTTTTGCTCGACCCTCCACAACGTAAATTATATTTTACTTAATATTAACAGGGGGATTAAATTAGATTTCAAAATTTAGGTAATGGGTGACTCCAAAGTCGCGTGGATTCTTCTATTTAGTTTTGATATTTTTTAGACATCCACGCGTCCTTGTAAGGAACAGAATCTGTTCAAACACCGAAACGCAAGTTTCGATCGAAATCCAAACGCTGTTCGCTTCAGTAATTCAAACGGTAGCCATCGTTCCCCTATTCTAATCGAATCACAGTGCCGCAAGGATATTTCCTACACCCACTGTCCCACGAAGTTAGTCCAAGCACGTGTGCGCAATGTTACGCACATGTTCTTGACAGTGGACAGAACTGGTGTCATAATTCGTCCATCCACGCACGACTCTTCCGCCCCCTTCGACGTGGTTGCTTACAGTTTACTGACAATTTGCTTATTATTAACCAATATTTTCTTCACGAGGCCCAAAATAAAATAAAATTAAAAGAGTTAAAGAGTTCTAGCTTGCAACATATTTCTTACATCCACTCTTAGTTCTAACTCGACTTGGTACAACGTCAAACAATACGTCATACAAAATAGATGCACTGTGAATTGGAAGTTCAAACTTAGTGACTTTTGACTATTAATGAACTATATTCACTGAATTTTTAGTGTTCAAAGCACTCAATGGAAGACAATATAATTAGAAATGAAAGGTTTCTGGATACCAACGATTTACGTCTGACAACCAATGGCTGGAACCACTGCGTCTACTAGCAACCACTATAATCTACTTCTGTTCACGACTGACGAATACAAATACAATACAAATTCCGTTTTCTCAATGATGCAATCCACTTTAAATACTGTGGGCCTTATACTCCACTTCGATAGGGTTCAGATCGAGTTCCCTAGACTTTGATGCGTGACACGGATTCTGGAAAATTGCTCAGTCATTAGGAGAAACGTATTCCAACGCTCGATCTAAATATTATTCCTGCCACTGTTTTGCATTATTCATCGTCCGTTCCAGTACCTAAAGCGTTGCTAATGACGAGCATGCGGCCGCCAATAAAGATTTAAAATAGTTCTCATTAATTCTCACAATAGTGTACATTATTCAGTCAATTTCTATTCTAAGATACAGAAACAAAGTTTCTTCGCTTCCTGATAACTCTGCGATTGATGCAACCTTGTATCATCTAACTACAGACGTGACCAATTAACCAGATGGACGGTCAACCGATCCTGTCGAAAACTGTTTCTAACCAAGTTCGACCGTTATCCTGGATCGTCCAGGTGCTAGAGGAGAGTCCGTACCGCGAGGTACGGACATACGAGTTCCAAGAGGCGGCCACACTTGCGTAGCACTGTACGGAGTCGCGGACGCCGATGGTGGAAGTCGCCAGGCCGCGTGGTGGGAGGCCTCAATAAAAGTCAGTGGCAGACTGATTGTAATTCAGAGTGGCGGTAGACACCGGTACCAGTTCCCCGTACGGTCGCGCGTCCATCCTCGTGCCTCAAACTCTTTCGTTCCTCTTCGTCCACGTCTGCTCCCCGGTGCGGTACCTCTGAAATCGAGATCGAAATTTTGAGAGAAAAAACACACAAACGACAATTCCCCGTTTCGCGTAGTCGTCCGGCGACTCGGGAATCGGCGTTGGCCCGAGTCGAGCGAACGAGACGAGACTCAGACGATCGGTTGTTCGTCGTTGGTGCGTGTCCAGAGGCACCTTGGCCGTTTGGCGAGACGTCACCGGAGAAATAACCAGCGGGGAAAACACGAAATCGATAGTGTCGTGGCAACGAGGTTTCGGACTGACCCTGCTTGGCGCGCGGCTAACCGACGGTGTCCGCGCCTTTCGAAACGCTCGGGTTTCGCCGGAGGAACGGAGGAGACGCGCCGTGTGGATCGTACGCGAGATCGGGATCGAGAGGACACGTGGCCAACGCGTCGCGTCATCCTGCGATCTACGGAGAAACGGAGCCAGGGAAACACGTGTGTGCAGTCAGTGTCACCGACTTTGTGATCGCGACGGAAACCGAGGACGAACATGGCGAACAGGAGGTGTACCGGAAGTGCCCTGCTGGCGGTCCTGGTCGTCGTTTCGTGCGCCAGGACGGAGGAAGAGGTCCCAGCCGTCTCACAAACCGCGGCTATGGTAAGCTAGTTTTCGATCAAACCTGCTTAAACGTAAGCAAATGGCTCGTCGATCTTCCGGAAACTTCGCGTTAAGAGTACGGTGGTTCCTAGACACTCAGGGAAACGTAACACTCTGTTACAAACTCCCTCAAATCTACAAACACGAGGCAATTTTTAGTTATATGTACGCAGTCTCGCAGATCGCCCCAAGGGAACCGCTCGTTTTCGATACAAACCTGCTCAAATATAAGCAAACAGATCGTCGATCTTCCCGAAACTTAACGTTAAGAGTAGGGTGGCTACCAGACACTCGGTGAAACGTACCATTCTACTTCAAACTTCTTCAAACCTACAAACACGAGACAAATTTTTGTTAGAGAAGAATGCTATTAGTAAATAATACTCAGAATGCAGAGAACTGAAAATTACATACGTTAGCTAGTGTGTAAATTCTGCTTTAATTTACTCGATTGTTACGAATCTATTAGAGAAGACAATTTTTATTGATTTATGGCTTTCCCAAGGATTTCCTAGAGAAGAAGTACAAAGATGGTTGATTTCCTAAAGAATAGTACAAGAGGGTTGCTAGACGATCGATAGAAATTTGAATGAATTCGGTTCGAGGATCGAGAGTTGGACGAACCGAGAGTACAGATTGCAAAAAGTAAAGCGTTATACCGGTCAAACGAGTGCCCATTTCGGGTCTTTCGAGTTCGCTGGAGGATCGCGAATTCCTCTGTTGCGCAATCGGAAGCGTATTCGCGGCTATTCCGAGAAAATTGGACGCTTCGAACGCAACAAGTATCACCGCGACGGAAAATGCCTGCCACAGAGGCTGATTCTGAGGGGAAAATTGTTTCGCGCGAAATCCACCGTGTCTGCAGTGTGTCATACGCGAGTGAGTAATATCTACGCGAGCGTATTAATGGTACGTGTTCTTTTGACAATGCGAGCAACATTCCAGAGGAAACGTTTTATCTCTATGACACTGATATACAGATTACGATGGATACCGAGTTATCTTCGACGCGATTCACGTTGCTCGTACATTGATTTTTGCTCGATACGAACACGATTTTCCCATTTCGCTAGCTGCCTGAGAAGAACAGCTGCACCACCATTTTTATTGGTTCATCAAATCTATGGAAAACCATCACGTTTCATTTTGTCTCTCTTGAAGAAGATAAGAGCATTTACGTAATATTCAATTCTCTCTGAGATTGAAATATGCATAATAAAAGAGTAACAACCTAAATCCCAAAGGAAAGTTTAAAGTCGATGCACTGTTTTTCCAAATGATAACTATTATTATTGAACAGTGGACGCTGGAATTTCAGAAGCTACGTTCGATAAATATTAATCGAAACGATTCATTGTCCTCTCGATCGAAGCCTCGACGATTCTAACGTTGAGAGTATTTTTTTTTTTATTCATATTGATCGCAGTTGTGCAACATCATCTGCAAATTGAACGTTCGCGAAACTCCGTCAGAAGAGAAGAACGCTAGCCGGAATGAAAAGAATGTCGCATAACTAATTTTCTATATTCGACGTATCGACGCTGGTATGCGGAGTATAATGCAGAAACAGCGAGACCGGTTCTCGACGTAATGACATAAGGTTGGACTATGTGACGTCACTGTGGCTACCTTCGCTGACAAAGTTCAGGTACGCGCGCTGACTCGATCCTGACCTTCGATTCATTGAAAAGTAGCGGTTCGAGCGCGAGGTATCGAAACCAACCGCGATCGAGATCGAGATCGAAGCTGAACTCGACGGAATATCTCAATGATCGATTATGGGTGGAAAACTGAGATCGATTCGACTTCGAAACTTCCATCGGACTGGAAACCCGTAGAAATCGCGATTAAACGTTGCTATTAACGTTAAGGTGTGAAAATGTCAATATTGACGATGGGACTTTTTCACAAAATTACCGAAGAAGAACTTGTACGTTCGTAAGATAAGATAATTTCACTCAGTGTCTAACACTCGTTTCAACTATTTTTTCCAATCAAACGGCAGGTCGATCTTTTTGCAAAATGTCGTGATAAGATTCTCCCGTTTAACTTTCAACGCTTCTCAGAGCTAACTCTTTTAGAAAGACGATGAAGATTGCCAAATGACTCACGAAAATTCTACGAATCACAGAATTCATCTTCCAGAATTTTAGAAGGCCACAAAAGTTTCTCGATGACTGTCCAGAGTTCTGCAAAGCAATTACACTCTGTCAAGTCATTTTTTTAGATGTTCCAACATTCAGAAAATTCTAAAAATTTGTCTGAAAACTAGTCTGAACGACGGTCATCGAAATCACGCTTCTAAAAAGCGTGTTTCGTACGCTTCGGCTCGGGCAATCTCGACGAACGATAACGTCGTAATTATCTGTACAGGTAAACACAAACGCGAACATTTTTATCGCCGGGGTTTGCGGTACGTGAAAACCCAAAGAGACCTCGCAACCTTAATTACGCCTCGTCTTTGTTCGAGATTAACGACACTGACATCGAAGGAAAGTTTTAGCCACGTGCGTTTCCAGGCCTACCCCGACGACCATCGATCGATTGTTTTCATCGTGAAAAAAGCTAATAAGATACTGCACTCCGCTTACCATGAATACCGACGCGCTATAATTATTCCGTCTCGAGTTTTTACGATGTTTTTAAGCATCGACCGCACACAACTATGAATTAAAATTCTCTTTGTTTCGCGGAACGGTGTTTTTGCAGCGAGAAAACGATTTAACTTTTACACATTAAGAATTGCGAATTTTCGTCAATATCATTAGGCTTTCTATTTTTAGACTGGAATTACATTTAATACGTCTGAGAATAAACAAGAAGTGTCTGTATTGCTTCACGAGAAATATACTTCGATTATAAAATTATCCAATGTTTCAGCTAAAAGCGTCTTTACCGCGATTATTTAACGGATCAAATTACACGTAATTTACTGGAAGTTGAGTGCATCTAATGACTCGCGCAATGTCTTCGAGAGCCTCGAAGATAGCGGAAATTACCGTGTCGTATAAGAACTTTGTTGCTATTTAACTCTAAGAGATAAATAAGAGTCGCTGGAAACTTTTTGTTATAACAATAACGGAGCAAAGTTTGAGAAGATGTACGAAATTCTGATAGACTGACGATACATTCGAGCCGCGTAAGTGGAAACTGGGCTAAATGCTCGTTCCAAGTAGTAAGAGTCAGGAACGTAGGCAGTAGAATCATACTTGCTTCAATCAGACATGCTGGAGCGCGATCATTGTTCGCCCCTTTGTGTACACCAATTAGAAGCGCCATTTTTTAATTAATACGCAAGCTCTCCTTAGCGAATAAAAATTTCAATCAAACTGCTTTAAAATTTCTAATAATTCGAGGGACTTTTTAAATTAGTACGCTTCTTTTTAGCGAACAAAAATGTTAGAATTAAATCAAAACGTAGAAAATATACGATACTGAGCAGTTAAAAAAACATTCATTATTTAGTACAAAACTATCTACTTATGATTTATTTATTCTCAACTAAATAATTTAAAATTGTTTCTTGCTTTCAAATAAACGGTACGTACTTTTATTTTTACTCCTGTTCGAAGGAAACCACTTCACTATCGAAGTCATCGTATTTATTATTGAACAAATTACACGTCTGAACGGAAATAGGAAATTTCTATAAGTGGAGATAGGATCGTCGACGCGTGAAACATAATCGATTGTTCGAGTAGAAACGCGATCGCGTCGACGTGTAGCTAATTCATTGAAATAATTATTATGGTCCTGTGCCATCGCAATGTAATCGTGATATGTCACTGAACACGTAATACTTTGTCCGAGCGATCTGGCCCGTAATTGACACGAATTTATGTCCACGGGCATCGTGCCAACTAAAACAAGCACCGGCCACGTTCGAACGTCGCGACGACGTGTTCCAGCGAGGCTTGAAAAACGACAGGTGGTGGTTTTACACGTGTTCGACCAGTGAAATTACCGGATCGAACGCGCGTTAATTGCCCAAAAAGTGCCCCTAGATAGATACAAGCCTCCACGTTTAGCTGTATCGATGATTATCGAATTCTGTAATCGATAAAAAGATAACAGTATTCGTACTGTACGCTTCACACGGCTGATTTTTTGCAACAAATGTCGTGGGACCCTTATCGACAAACTTACTCGATTAAATTGCCCAAAAAATGCCCCTAGATAGATACAAGCCTCCACGTTTAGCTGTATCGATGATCATCGAATACTGTAATCGATAAAAAGATAACGGTATTCGTACTCTACGCTTCACACGGCTGATTCTTTGCAACAAATGTCGTGGGACCCTTATCGACAAACTTACTCGATTAATTAAGATTTCGATCTATGTACATATTTTGGAAAAATAACAATTCATCGAGATCGTTTGAAAGATCTAATCGTTTTAATATCCACTGCGCTAGTTCGTTGCTCGATCTCTCTAAGATTCTATCGAAACGAAATAAAATACACAAAGTATTTTAAGAACAATGCGAAGCAACGTTCGAAAAGCCACCGTTGGGTTTATAAATCATGCAGGAGTAACACGACTAATTGAACGAGTCGATTAAATCTCGATCGAGGGGAGAATAACTTTCGAGAGAAAGAAAGAGAGACGAGAGTCGAGCGGACAGTGGATACGTAAAAGAGCGAACGATCGCTGGATCGAGGAACGATGAGAATATCTATCGTTCGATCGTTAATATTCCGATGACGGTTAAATCGTGTACCGACTGCGGATCGTGCACGACGAAGGCCAACATTCGCGATCTTACGCTGTGTGTATTTCCGTGTCGAGGCACATACATTATTTACCATTTCCTAGTATGATCCAGCCAGCGAGAGAAAGAGATGCGGGAGAATCGATGGCTTGGCACCTTGCCAACAGTAAATTTTTCCATCGTCTCTGGCTTTCGACAAAATCGTTGCAAAAAAAAAAAATGCTTCGCTTCGAGTACCTTGCAACGAAGAGGACCATCGAGCAAAATGACTGTTCTGGATATGTC